GGCTGGGGAATCCTCCCGCTGCTCCTCATCAATGTGATGAGATCTTTCATCAAAGGTTGCTGAGATCTGTCTCAGATTGTATGAACCTAATTTATGTCTTAAAATACTGCAATGCATCTGGAAGAAATTTAAATAAATACTCCATTGTTTATGTACTAGGGGCAAAAGGGAGACATAGGACCTCCTGGAATTGCAGGCCCACCTGGTCGGCCCGGTCCACCTGGTCAGCCTGGTCCACCAGGAACTTCAGTATCAGGTAGGACAAGTCTTTCTTAATACTACTTCACTCTCTTAATTTATATCATGTTGCTTAAGCTAAAATGCGATACACTACATTTCTGTGCTCCCTTACAACCAACTCTTGTATAATATGATACAATCCTTGTATCTATGGGAGATACATTCCTGAACATACAATGGAAACAAGAAGCCATGGATAATAGCAAACCATATTGAAATGAAGGTAAAGCTGGATTCCTTTGCCTGTATAGATTCAGCCATAGAAACTACCATATTTCTTCAATTCTAAGACACCATTAATTGTAAGACGCCTACTAATTTCAATATCACCAAAAGGAAAAAAAAGCTTTATTTATGTATAAGAAAAACACCCCATTTTAGAGGTGTTTATATGGAGGAAAGTGCATCATAGAATGGAAAAAATAGTGTATATTCTGCAGCAACATTTTCAGAAAATCAAACAACAATGCATTATTAAACATGACGCAGTTCAGCCTAAACTCGTAATAAGAATCAGACTTACAAGGCACCAAATTGAGAATTTCCCAGTTGCAAATATTAGACATTTTGATTGCAGGTAGGGTTCTAATTTTCTCTTTTCAGGGTGTCTTTGTCTATTTCAGCAACGTCCTAGTGTGGCACTCTGATATTTTCTAGGGCAACTAACAATGGGGCCAAAAGGGGAGCGAGGGCTTCCTGGATCTCCAGGGAAATGTCTCTGCAACTCTCAGCCAAATGTGAATAACCCGTCCTATGAGGAACCACTCTTTGGACAGGCGTTTTCAAAAGTTCCTGCAGTAAGTGAGTCTGATAGCAGTTAATATGGGCATATTTTGTAAATGTGCCATCTAATACTGTTTTTGGGGCTGCTTTGGGAACATTTGAGAATACTGCTAATTTGTTTCTAGGCTGTGTGCTTTTACAGCATTTGCTTTGTTCTGACAACAGGTGGCTTGGCAATTATAAGCTGTGTCTATAATTCTGGAATTCCAGAATTCCAAATATCAGCACATTAGGGGGAAACTGCATACTGTGCACAATATGGATCAGGATCATTACTAGCACATTGAAAAGGCTTATACCTTTCTCTAGAACCATTTCCCCTCTTTAAATGCTAAGACGTTTTTAAAAGAAATTCTGCTGATGGGAATGGAAGCTTTTTTCTTTGATTTTTTAAAAGGAAAAATGGGGAGATTGGAATGCCACAGATTTTCTTTGGAGTTAGAAGGAAAACAGAACATGGTTGCATGCTAAGTCTGCAGCATAGTGTGGAGTTTAGTCTTTAGACACTAGAACGCTGGTGTTTCTTTAACTCTTTCCTATTGTTCTATAGCAGTGGTTCCCAACTTGTGGTCCATGGACCACCAGTGGTCCCCAATAATGAAAATATGGTCTGTGGCCTCACCATTACTACACCATTGCCTTTAAACCACGTGACAACAAGAGTGACTGGTCTCGCGAAACGCTCTTATAGTGCTGAGGGAATGGGGATGTTGGGAGGGGAGATGCTGATTACCCACGAAAGATTATTACTACCACGTCAGCTCTAGATTATTGAATATGGTTTTCTGTGGGTGAGCAGATGGTGACTACTGGATGGCATATGTTCTGTATCAGAAACTAGAGCTGATGTGGTCTATCCAATGCGATTTTCTGAATCAGCACCCCAAATAACCAAACCAAATCTAAAGTTGACCAAAAACTGATTCGTAACCCTTTTTGTACTAAAGATGGAGAGTAGTCCCTGGTCAAAAAAAGGTTGGGAACCATTGTTCTATAGTCAGCCTTTCACATTCACTGAGTCTAGGGGTGAAGGCCTCCATGAATGTGGAAAAACTTCAAATAAAAAACCCAAATGTTTTTTTCACCTAAGACAATATCTCTTTGGGTTGTTGTAGGTATTTCAGGCTATATGGCCATGTTCTAGAAGCATTATCTCTTGACGTTTTGTCTCTATCTATGGCATCTGACCTCACAACCTCTGAGGATGCCGGCCATAGATGCAGGCGAAATGTCAGGAAAGAATGCTTCTAGAACACAGCCACATAACCTGAAAAACCTACAACAACCCAGTGATTCCAGTCATGAAAGCCTTTGACGATACACAGAATTTCTCTCTATGAATATCTAAGTCCTCCAGGATTGCCCTGTGGTCAATTTCCATGAAAAGTCAACCATAGAGTTGTACAGGAGGACCTAGAGACTCCTAGACACCATATTAATTAAATCCACAAAAGTTAAGACTGGCAAATGTTGAGAGCCCACTTTACTATATGATGTCATTGATGGGGCCTAGCGTCCCATTTTATGTTTCAACGTGGACTTTATTGACATTTTGTTTCCAGCCAGGCAATAACCAATTATTATCCATTTGAAGATAACAATCCAGACAGTTGTTCCACCTGCTTCTTCAGTTCCTGGGAAATCACATTTCCCTTGTAATCAAACCACGATTGATTTGCTGCAGCCATGCGATTTATCCCCTGCTATTACTGCAGTTTGTGGTAATGAGATTTGAATAGATTGTGGTACAAACCACCCTGGATATCTATTGAATGGTGCCTGGGATATCATTGATATGCATATCACAAATCCTTTCACCTTCTACCCATTAAGTAATGTAACATACTGCTGTCTTTATGTTCCCTCTTTGTTCCTCTTTGGAGGATATGCAGTCTCTCCTTCAAAATCTGCAAAGCATCTCTCTTCCAATCCCTTTTTATTTGTTTTTTTTAAATAATATTCAATCACTTTCAATAAATCATTTCACACTTTTTTATTCACGAGGACAGACACACATCAATACTGGTACTGGATGAAATCATGCAACACATACAGATGTCTAGAAAGAAGTGATTTTTAGGGATGGGGTTCGTCGGAATTGGAAAGGTCTTGTTTGTACGACCTTCAAATTTAGAATCAGGTCTCTACTGCACACCATTATTCTGCTGCAATATGTGTTACTACAACAGTCCAGTTTCCTCCTACGTCTTTTTATGTTTCTTCTCCAGATATTTGTTGTAAATAACCGAGAAGAGCTGGACCGGCTAAACACAGAAAATGCCCTAGCATTTCGAAGAGATCAAAGATCTTTGTATTTCAAAGACACTTTTGGGTGGCTTCCAATCCAGGTAAATAACCTAACACCAACAAAAATAGTGCAACTTCAATTAGGCGCTTCATTTCCCAAATACTGAAATGTCTCTGTTTGAAAACACATCATTTAAGTATGTTTTGTCTATGATGATGAATTTTTATTTATTATTATTTATTTCATTTGTATCCCATCTCTCTCAACCCTGCAGGGGACTCAGGGCAGCTTTAAAAAAGGCACAATTTGATGCCACATTTACATACATAAAACAAAACAAAACATATACCTTAAAATCAATAATTAAAACACAAAATCTTAAAACAGTTACATGAAAAACTGAGTCCAATGGCATATTCCAGGAGCCATTCCATAAACTGGACTATTTCACAGTCACTTATTTTGCAGATCACTTATTGCATTACAGATTACTGTCCAAAAGCTTGGTTCCACAACCATGTCTTCACTTTGTTTCTGAAGATCAGGAGGGAGGGAGCCAATCTAATTTCATTGGGGAGGGAGTTCCATAGCCGAGGGGCTACCACTGAGAAGGCCCTGTCTCTTGTCCCCACCAATCACATCTGCAAAGGAGGTGGGACCACGAGCAGGGCCTTCCCAGGAGATCTTAACCCCCAAGATGGTTCATAGAGAGAGATACGTTCAGACAGATAAGCCAGGCCAGAACAGTTTAGTGCTTTATAGGCCAAAGCCAGTACTTTGAATTGTACTCGGTAGCATACTGGCAGCAGTGGTGCTGGCGCAGCAGGGAAGTTGTGTGCTCCCTGTTGTCTATGTATGTATAGTTACCATTATTTATTTGTTTATTTAATATTCCAGTTTTCAATCCATAAATCAGAAGTAGGTGGTGTGACCATGTTGGTCTCAGGGAGGTTGAAAGTTAGCCTCCAGACTCTCTAAGGTCTATACATAGTCAGTGACTTCTGAGGTAATTTTCAGTACTGTACAAATATGGATCTCATACTTATCTACCAAGATAATTGAGAAGCAGGCCCACCTTGGTTATGGTATTGCTTAATCACAATTTAAAATGTGGGATGTGGAAAAGTTTTCTTCCCTACCCACCCTATATCCATTTGAGAAAGAGAATGGTTACGCATTCGGCAGTGTTACATCTGCAGTGCTAAGAGTTCAGGCTTTTACATCATGAAGCACATGAAGAAAAAAGTAGAGGTTGGAGAAATGCATCCTCTCCGTCTAGGTCAAGTAATCAATCACATATTAGAAAACAATACCATTTATATTAATAGGTAGATTCCAAGCATGAGAGGTATATATGAGAGATATGTCCATGACAGATGTACAGACTTGCACATACATGAAAGAGTAGTCTTGCCATTGGCGCATGAAGTGGAAGTAGATGCTGGAGGGCAGCTGGTGCCCGCAGATGTTCCTCCTGAGAATCCTGCTCATTTCCCTTTTTTTTTGGAAGATAGCACTGCGTGCATCCTGCATTCTTGAAACTAGCCATCTGCATTTAGGTGTGGTGGAAACCAAAACCTAGTATAAATTTACTACCCCGCTGTTATTGAAGTGATTAACTGCCACTATTTACTGTCCTAGAATGCAGTGGAAGACACTGTCATGCCATAGCATTCAACTGCCTAATCAATTTATATTCTTGGAATAGGGAAGAGACCATTTTGTCCTTTGTTTAGGTCAGTGGTGGGCTCAACCTGTGGGTCCCCAGATGTTTTGGCCTTCAACTCCCAGAAATCCTAACAGCTGGTGAACTGGCTGGGAATTCTGGGAGTCATAAGCCAAAACACCTGGGGACCCACAGGTTGAGAACCACTGGTCTAGGCAGCAGAATATTTTGGGTTTCCCAGTTGGCAGAATCGAACCTCCAACAGCAATGAATTTTCAACAGTTATGAACAAAAATATGCTTTTCAGCGGTCATTTTCCTTAATAATCTATCTCTCCATGACAGCTACAATGATTATAGTTCACATGAAGTAACCATTCTGTATTTATTCAGCAGCTTACCCCTTTCTATTCTGTGGACTACCCAGTTGATGACAGCAGCTCTGCCTGTGGAGATGGGATCATCCAAGATGGAGAAGAATGTGATGATGGCAATACTGTTGTGACTGATACCTGTATAAGTATGTTTGAGCCAATATAATTCATGAATATAATCCCCACACCATGACCAGCTCAGTACCATATGGCCGGCAATGTACTTTATCTAATCCTTTATTGATACTCACCCCGTTGCTTGTTCCCATCTGAAATCTCCCCACTAGGCACTCTACCCTATTCATCCATCTCAGCCAGGGTTTTTATATTTTATTCTACCCCTGTAATTTGGCCCAGCCAGCCATGCACATTTTGATTATTTATTTATTTATTTCATATTAATTAGTTTTGTTTATATTTCATTTGATGTTATTATTTGCTGTTATGTATTTTATTTTATTTGTTGTAATTGTTTGGGCTTGGCCTCATGTTAGCCGCCCTGAGTTCCCATTGGGGAGATGGTGGTGGGGTATAAATAAATATTATTATTATTATTATTATTATTATTATTATTCCCTTCTAATCTGACTGATTTTACATAAAAGTCCTAAAATAAATGGACAAACAGCAGAGTTGATGTGCTGTACTGTGGTGGCATAGCAACACAGGAACACTTATCGGCCACCAGTGGTTCTTATCCTAATGCAATAGCTAGTGCAGCCACTGACCTGAATCAGAAACAGTTTTGGTGATTACTGAAAGCAATGGTCTTCTGGCATCCTATCTATCTCTCTGTCCATCCTGCCATCCATCTGATTATCCATCCATCAGCTATCTAATATCTAGCTACTATTTCATTTGTATGCTGCCTTTTTCTCAGAGGGATTCTCAGAGGGATTCTCCCAGAGTAACAGCTGTCTGTGGGAAGGGTTTAATATGTAATGCTATATGCAGTAAAACCTCCACGCAAGTGAAAGTGTCATACTATCACCCTCCCCACACACATGAAAACTGCACCACATACAGCAGGACTCATTAAGCCTTCCTCCATACAAGGCATTTAGTGCTTCATGCATGGACACCAAGAAAGGAACTTCCTTCCATAAGAAGGATGATGAGGATTAATTGTTCTTCTATTCCATGTTTCGTAGGATGTCGCCATGCATATTGTGGAGACGGCTACCGACAGGAAGGTATTGAAGATTGTGATGGGCAAGACTTCGGCTATTTAACCTGTAAAACGTATCTCCCTGGGTATGACAAATCTCTATCTTTATTTTTGTTGAATCAGACCAATGTTTTGTCAAAGGCTTTCATGGCTGGAATCACTGGGTTGCTGTGAGTTTTCTGGTCTGTATGGCCATGTTCCAGAAGCATTCTTTCCTGATGTTTCACCCACATCTATGGCAGGTATCCTCAGAGATTGTGAGACATCATGACCTCTGAGGATGCCTGCCATAGATGTGGGCGAAATGTCAGGAGATAATGTTTCTAGAACATGGCCATACAGCCCAGAAAACTCACAGCAACCCAGACTGATGTTATTTACTTCGGTCAAAATGGAGGAGACATTGAAGCCTCCCTGAGTCCCGGTTCAGAGGTCGAGAACAAAATGGGATATAAATGTTCTAAAAAAAATTAATAAATTGCATGAGGGCTAAAGATTGGGTACTTTTTAGTTATTTTTGTTGTTCCATAAATCTGGACTGGAGGCTGATTGGAAGCAAAGGGAAGGATATATTTCCTTTCCCCCCTGAACCAATTGTTCTCCCACCAGTGAAATCAGAAGACAACACAACATTGTGGGTTAACTATGAGCAACTTTTATTATATGTTACCAATCAATCTCTGTGTGATCTTCCAATCAAATTTAAGATCATGAATATAAATTTGACCTTGTATGTGAACTTGAACTTGAACTTACACTTGAATTTGTTATGGAATCAAACAAGGCAATGGCCATCAGAGACCAACTCACCCTGAAACAATGGACGAAATACCACATTCCCCAGATGCAATTCACATGTTGCTCCCAAGGGGAGCCATCAAGTAAATGAGTGGAGACATCAACATCAATCTTCCTTCTCTGTGGTGCACACTGATATGTACCTATTGCCCTTTGCACATATGAAGCTTATTTAGGACCCCTTTACCCAACTTGCCATTGATTAAACAGTGTAGGGTAGGAGAAAAACTCTCCTAGAATGTGTGTGTGGGGGGATTCCTCCCTGGCCCCATCAGCAACCCTTGTAAAGTACACTGTTGAGGAGGCGGGCGGGTGGGTCAGCGTCATCAAAGGAATGACCAGGGCAGGGAATGTCTTCCCTTGATCCCACTCACAAGTCCTGGCAGGACTATTTTACTGCCTCTCCCTTCACTGGAAGGGAACAAAGCACTTCCCCGGCCTCATGCTGAAGATGGAAAAGGAATGATTGTGAAATGACAAACACAAGGCTGTGATTTGTTTTACCCCACTCTGCATTCTGAACTCTCAACTCATGGGAAGAGGGTCCTAGAGACAGTGGTGTTTGTCAAGTCAAATTTTGGGGATGAAAAGAACCTGGGGAGAGTTGTGCTTAAAGTACATTCGCTGTTGGAGAATGGTGGAAACCTCTTCTGACATGACTCATCTGGTAATGTCAGTGAGTAGAAAACTATAGAAAGAGCAGTTCCATACAATAGGCATTATCAAGATGTGACTTTTTCTGTATCTTTAGGAAATTAATGGGTAAGGAGAGGCATGGGGAGCCTGAATCCTCCCACAACACCAATCTGTCCCTCACATGACCAGGATTAATGGCTCAGCATTGTTTTCTGTTGCTGGGAATATTGCCAAGAGGTGTGACCAAGGCCACATCTACACTGCAAAATAATGCAGTTTCAGAATGCAAATTAACTGCATTGAACTGGGTTATATGGCAGTGTAGACTCATATAATCCAGTTAAATGCAATTCAATCTGCATTATATGAGTCTACACTGACCATGTAATGCAGTTCAAATTGCATTAGATGGCAGTGTGGATGAAGTCCAAGAAAGATAGGGGATGGACGTGAGATTCTGCCTCCCTTCTGTTTTCCTCGAAGTCTGAACCTCTTTGTTGAAAAATGCATTTCCCACCTCACGTAGACATTAATGCATTCTGCAGAAGTACATCCCATGTTATAAAAGGAGAAGCTGAAATGTTTAAAGAAATGTAAACTTTTGTGGTGGCAATTTTCTATGAATTACACAACAGAGCTGCAAAAGACCAATTAGGTCCAGTGTTGTCATGCTTTCCTTTAACCCCACATGGTACATGGATGAGAATTGTGCTCACTTGCAATATGACCTGTGAGCATTGATATTAATAGCTTCCCTTGGTCAGCAGCATTTTACCTGCTGCAGTTCTGTCATTCTGTCAAGTACTGTTACTATCTTACAGGAAACATTTAATCTGCAAATTAAATTACCTGCAGAGTCCTCATGGCTCATGATAGAATAATGTGTTAATTGACAGGAATAAGAGAGTATAAGAGTCCGTTCTGCAAATCATCTTCTGTGTTAACTCTTGGGATGTAATTGTAACTACCTAGAACAGCCTATAGATCAGGGGTGGGAAATTGTGGCAGATCTGGGAGCAGGCAAAAAAGTGAGAGAGAAAAAACCCAGAAGTGAATAGAAGTCAACCTCTGAGTTTGAGAAATTATTTATTTATTTATTTAAAACATTTATACTCCATCTTTCTCGTCTTCTGAGGAGGAACTCAGAACAGCTATAGAAAGATATAGTGAGGCAATCATTCCACCACAGTGTCAACGAATTTCATCCTAAAATCAATTTAAGTCTGGAATGAGCCACACAAGAAGTTCACCTTCTTGACACCACTACAGATATCATCTGATGATAACTACAGATATCATCTATTTATTTTTGTACCCCGCTTCCATCTCCCCGAAGGGACTTGGGGCGGCTCACATGGGGACAAACCCGAGGTTCAACATAGTTAAAATATAACAACAAAATTCATAAAAACATTTCAACAATATAAAACAACCACGGAATACAATACATAGTGAACATCTAACAACCTTCAATGGTCTGGGTAGTGCACAGTTCAGAATTTGGGTGGGCAACTGCTGCAAATCACTTGCCAAAGGATGGGGTTGATGGATAAAGTGCTAAACGCAGATGATGAAATTAGGACCTGGGGGGTAATGTAAGGAGAGCACTATGTCTCTAAAAGGGAACAGTGGTAATATAAGATCTAAATATGGATCAGATTGGGAACCGGCATTATTTGGGGAACTATCTAGTTGAAGGCACAGTGGAAGATCCATGTCTTTAGCTCTTTTTGGAAGGTGGACAAGGTGGGTGCCAGTCTAATCTCCCTGGGAAGAGAGTTCCAGAGCCAGGGGACCACCACCAAGAAGGCTCTCACTCTCATCCCCACCAACTACGTTTGTGATGAGGGTGGGAGCGAAAGAAGGGCCTCCCCAGAAGATCTTAGATATCGTGTAGGTTTGTAGTGGAAGATGTGGTCACAAAGATAAGCCGGTCCCAAACCTTTTCCTTTTAATTATTCTTTGCCATATCATTCAGAGAATATTAGTCACCCCATCACCATGCCAACATGCTTTGCATTTCCATTACATTTCAAAATTCCTCTACTTTACACTTCATTCCATTTGTCTATATGTCTGTTCCCAGAGATTTCAATGCATACATTTTATGAAGTTCACTGGAGGTCCACAAAATATATATAAATTAATTCTACAGGTGCTCCTAGACCATGTTTGCTGTTAGTAGCTTTGAGTCCCTATTACAGGAAAAAAGTGGGATAAAAATAAAGTACATAAATAATAAATAGATCCCCATTCACTCCATCCTCTGTCCTTCTTATCATAAAAGAGGCTAACATGACTATCTCTTTGAGTTCTGGCTTTGATATTTGAGATAATGCACAGCCTATATGAGTAATAGTCTATCAGTTTGAATAAACTTCTCTATCCCTGCCCTGACAAGCAACTTGATCAAATTTAGTACAACAAATGAAAAATTATTGTAGATGAGTGGCAGACAAGGAAACCAGAAATATCACAGATGATGCTATATTTTAAAATAGGTGCAAATGAAATGAATACACAATGTAGAAATGTTCATACATATTTCGAATGGCAATTTGGCCTCAATCCAATTGCTTGACCCAAGTAGAACAAAACCATTGAGTCATCTATGTAATGCTCAGTCAACACTTCTATAAACATCATTGATTCAATGGACCAATTCTTCTGGGGACTAAATAATAAAATAGCAATAAAAATAGAGGGGAACATTCACATATCATTATTTGTGTGCTTTTCTTTCTTTCTCAGGTCTTATGGAAAGTTACGATGCACTTCCTATTGTCGTATTGACTCTACAGACTGTCGATATTTTACATGAAAACTGGAACAGGAGGTGAGTATCCCTCATATGACATGGATGGAGCAGAAACCATGTTATCATCCAACTACTTCTGGACAGTAGATAAACAGCATTTCTCTGTGATGAAACTACCAATGTCATGTTGATCAGAGATGCATTTTTAGTCAATTCACACACTGGAAGAAAATAAGACTGCTGCAACCTGTCTTAGTAGAATAATTACAACAGCATTGAAAATCAGGACTTACTTTTTCCATGGCTGCTTACAGAACTTCCCCTCTGCAACAGGAACAAAACCAAACTACTGGAACATTATTTTACTTCGATACTGCTACTTCAGAAGAATACAACAATACCTCAACTTAGCACTGTTAGTCCTACAAACAAGCTCTTCAAGGTCATTTTAAAAAAAAAGACTTTCCAGTATAAACACATTGCAATGTTTATAAAGACTGTTTAAAGTGGTGGGTTTTTTTACTAAATGTGAACTTTGTACATGCTCTATTTGCATGAAACGTGCATTTAAATTAGCGAGAAGCCCGCAGTTTGTCCATATTGACTTTTGACAGTTTAGGTTACTATCCAAACATTCTATCACTGAGGATAAATCCCATTGGACTCGCTTGTGAGTGATTATGTCAAGGAAACCAACTAGTCAGCTTTGCTTGGAAATAGAATTTACTGGAAAAATATCATAGGTGTAAATAGATATTTATTTATAATGAGAATGACTTATATGGGATTATACAAATGGGATTTGATGCAGATAGTCATGTTAGATTGTCACAACAAAAACAACAAGGTATCTGATGCTACCTTCAAGGTTTTATGTGGCATGAGTTTGGTGGACTTCATTCCACTTCATCAGATGCTTTTCGAAGAGCGCTATACCTGAATATCAGCAAGGCTAAAAGAATGGATCAATGGACTTTCAAAACACCTGGAAAGGTGTCTGCCTATCTTAGCAAAGAACTGACAGCACCTTTTGGTGCACAACTGTTCAGAAGAGAGTCTTATTATATCTAGTTGGGCTCACTACCAAGAAGCTTTGGGAGGAAAAGTAGCCAAATCATTGAGCTTCTCATGAGATGGCCCACTTCAGGACAACTAACTGATGTAGAACTCATTCTTACTGCCTAAGCAACATGTTCCTGATGAGGAATAATAATATAGTCTATGTTAATATGCCTTAAATGTGCATCCTTATGCAACAGCACAGGAAGGCTGCATTTTAAAAGGGTTAGAATTGCATTAAAGACTATTGTTGAAACAAATAGCTGTTGCCAACTTTCATTTTCGCTCATCTGTTTGGATGCATCATATCTTTCATGCACCTGACAGTCACTTGGTGTTATTATTTTTCTCTCCAGAAAATGTTTTTGAGTCTCATCTTTCAGCAACTTTTGATGTTAATGTGTATATATTCCTAGTTATGTATCCTGAAAAAGTCAGCTCATAATATGTTATTCAGACTAAGTGCTGTGTTGATTTAATATGTTCTTTCCTGGAAAGAATAGTCAAAACAATTGTGCTATTTTTAAAAGCATCTGGGACAATTATTAACTTCTTTTCTAATAGATACTGAAGCTCAAATTGAATATTGGATGTATGCTGAGTAAGATACAAATGGGAGCTATCTCAGATTTAGATAGACTTCTAAGAAAAGTCTTCATTCAATCTTAAGACATTGAACATTTAAAAGGATTTACTTTCTTATCATTAATGATGTAAACTGTATGTTTGAAATGTATCTTTTAACAACTATGAATATATTCTGTTATTACAGGAGAAACAAAATAAGGATATTGTCACACAATTATAATAAAAATAACATGAAAACCAACATCTATGTATCTTTTAGCCCCCTTTGAGTGGTCTAGGAAATCTGATTTGTGTAGATTTGGGATTGTCATCCAAGACAATATGGATGTCCGGGAGTCAAGTGGGATCTAGTGTATGCGTTGCTAATGGAGCTTTGAAAAGTTACTTTTGAGGACTCACATTCCTAGAATCTCCTGGCCAACATGGTCACTAGTTATACTAGCTTGGGGAATTCTGTATATTGTTGTAGTCCTAAAAAATGATATTTCCAAACTCTTACTGCTACTCTGTGCTGACCAAAAGAAGAGGAGGCAACGTTCAGGTGGACACTCAAAGAAATTATTAATTTTAATTAGTCCAGCTTTGTAATTATTTACATCTGTCTCTTCAAGAAAAGGGACTACCAACATTGGAAGTAGATTCAAATAACCGCAACACCAAGTTTCCAAAATGGGTTCCAAAGTGCTACACTTCCTTAAAAATGTATGGGTCAGCTATATCCTTAGAGGTCATGTTCTGCAAAGTAATTACTTGTTCCTTGAAAACAATTGATTGAGGGCTAAAGGTTATTGAAACTTTCACTATTTGATGCCAGCAGGAAAAAATGTTAAATGAAAAGTCCTTGTCGGTTCACCAGCTCTCAATAGTGGGTGTCTGCTAACCTTACCTTTGGCAAGGAAAATGAAAGCACTTCAAAATCAGAGGTGGGTGGGTTTAATGGGACACGCAAGTACAGGCTGAGTTTCTCCTGTCTGAAATGCTTGACACCAGAAGTTTTTAGGATTTTGGAATATCTGCTTTTGCATATTACTAATGAATGATGGATGGAGGGAAAGGGGGGTTACGCACCCATCCGGCACCCATCCCTGTTTCAACACTGCCCAAAAATCTGATGGAGGAAGGAGAAGAAAGAGATGGGGAGGATTCTGCTTGCACAAGGCAAAAGAAAATTCAGATGCTTCCTGAGCTGTCAGAACATTTTCTAGTCTTTTAGCAAAGTAGCCAGGAAGGGAGGAGAACTCCCCCCTCCCACTAGTCTTTTTCATTCTCTCTGGGCTAGATACTGGTAGTTGCTGATGGACTGCTCTGCACTCTCCTTTATGGCACATTTCCAGGGTGCCCACTTTGCCACATCACAATTAGCAGATGCTGAATGTGTGACTAGTCCCCTTTCTCCAAAGGCGGAAGTGGGCATCTGGTGGTAAAAAATCTTTGGTTTGGGGGGTATTTTGTATTTCAGATTTCTGGATATGGAAGTCTCAACTTCTAGGTCTTCTTTTGCCACTGTCTTCTTTTGCCTCTTCCTGCTCCTTTTCATCCTTAAGATTAATGTATCATTGCATTTGGCTGTATCTTCAGAGATGCAGACAGTGAAGTCTTGTTTCCCATCCCTTTCTCATTTCTGTATTGATGTCTGGCAACACTCCAAGTGCTAAGAGGCTGGCACAAGAAGTCTTCTGGCATGTTTTGATTACATTTGTGATCACTGAGCTAGTAAAGAGAGGAGACCTATGCCAATTTCTTCAACAAAGGAGATGCAGCTGATAGGGTCAGCTGATCCAAACTGTATTTATGGGGATGTGCTTCTACTGAAAATTACATTACAGATTTATTTTATTTAACTTTATTTAATTTTGAATCCCATTTCTGTGAGCTTTAAAAATTCTATATGCCTGTCTGTACATCCTTCTCCATTGCTTTGATGTTACTTTCTTACTTTCTTTGACTGCATTCCTGTCTCATCAAGGAAGAGCCTGACATTTATTTAATTTGTAGTATAATCTGTTTTTTCTCCAGGATGGGATCTATGTTACGGCAGCTCCACTAACTGCCAGTCCACTTCCAGGCTAAATACAAAGTGCTGGTTGTTACCTATAAAGTCCTAAATAGTTCAGGTCCGGGCTATTTGTCTAGCCACATCTCCCTATATAGACCACCTCACGCACTACGGTCAGTGGAAGAGGCCCTAGTCTCGGTTCCATCCCTGTCACAAGCGGTGGGCTAGGTGGGAATGAGAGAGGGGAGCTTCCCTGTGACTGCTCTCCACCTCTGGAATTCCCTTCCTAAAGAAATAAACATTTCTCCTCTCCTTCAGAAAACTTCTGAAAACACACCTATGTACTTTAGCATAGAGAGAAGAGGATGACTAGCAAAAATTAATTAGCACTTTATGGCTGCTGCAGTCTATTTTAATTCACAGCTGTGGTCAGGCACTGTTTACATTTTAATTGTATAATTGTCTAGGATATATAGCACCGGGATTGTGGCGCAGCTAGCTGAGTGTTAGCTGCATTAAGATCACTCTGACCAAACCAATTGTGTGTATACTGTTGTTGACCTTTGCAACCCGAAAGACAGTTGCATCTGTCAAGTAGGAAAATAAGGTACCACCTTAAAGTGTGGGGAGGCTAAATTAACTGATTTATGAGGCCATAAAGAAGACTCCAGCAAAGCATTCCAGCGGGGAAGCATGCGGGAATGCGGAAGTGCTTCATCAGCGTTGCAGATGGACGATTAAAGCGACAGCTTCCCTGGCAGCCAGAAAAAGTTAAATAGCCTCTGTGTATGTCTGTATATGTTGTATGTTAAAATTGGCATTGAATGTTTGCCATATATGTGTACACCGAGTCCCCTACGGGTGAGAAGGGAGGAATATAAAAGCTGTAAATAAATAAATAAATAATAATAAATATATGGGGTTTTTTGTGCAATTATATTTTATTCGTGTAATTAAGTTTTATTTAAGTAGCTGTATTTTGCATTACTTTAACCTTGATTCTTTTCTGGTTTATTACTGTCCATTTTGCATTTTTTATGTTGTGTGATTTTAAATTATGGCATTGAATGTTTGCCTTTTTATATATATGTAAAGCGCCCCAAGTCCCCCTTGAGGAGAGAGAGCGATCTAAAAATAAATAAATAAATAAATAAATATCATCATTATCATCATTATGCCCAGGAGTGTGGTGGAGGCTCCTTCTTTGGAAGCTTTTAAACAGAGGCTGGATGGCCATCTGTCAGGGGTGATTTGAATGCAACATTCCTGCTTCTTGGCAGGGGGTTGGAGTGGATGGCCCATGAGGTCTCTTCCAACTCTTTGATTCTATGATTCTATGATTATCCAAGGGAATTGTTGAGATTTAAAAAGGACAATACAATTAAAAATTAATTTCTTTAAACAAAAATTAAACTACATTTCTGTTTCGAAAACACATAATAAAAACATTAGAAATAGCAACTTATAACTAAATCCAACCACAACAGCCCAATTCAAAGCTTTGTCTCCTGGAACTCACTAAGAAACAAAAGCTTCCTGAAATATAAAAATATTTTCCCATAGTCGGTAAAACAGCAGGGATGGAGTTAACTGGAGCTACAGGGAAGGAAATGTAATACCTTTGGAGCAGCCACCGAGAAGGCTCTCTTTCTAGGATGTTAGGGAGAGGAGGTCTCCATCTACACTGCCATATAACGCAGTTTGAAACTGCATCAAACTGCATTATATAGATTTATATTGACCATTTAATGCAGTTCCAAATAGCATTTTATGGCAGTGTAGATTCAGCCTCAGAAAAAGCCTTCCCCTATAGATTTAGAGCATGAGCA